AGACAGATAGACAGATAGACAGGTAGACAGATAGATAGACAGACAGAGAGACAGAGAGACAGACAGAAAGACAGACAGACAGACAGACAGACAGACAGACAGACAGACAGACGCGAGCGCTTCATATAACGTAAGGATTTTGAAGGTGAAAACACCTAGCACCCGCTGACAATTCCTTTCTCCAAAATAAAGAAAAAAACCTTTTTTCTTTGCTTTCGTGCGGAACATTCGAGTGATGGCCTCAGACGTGGCAGAGTAGCCGACATCTGTAACCAAGGCCAGCCGTCCGCATTGCACTCCTATCTGCAACGTGTCGTAGTAATTACAAGCTCATAACAACAACTAAATCCTTCACAAACTGACTCCGCGAATGTCTTCGATGACCGGTGAAAGTTTCGTGAAAAGTTTCAGAACAACCATCGTAATTACCTGAAACGCGGTTTAATAAGTTTGTTCGCATATGGATTGACATCATTTCAGTATAAATTTTCTTTTTTATCGCACTCAGTCACACCCTATAAATAGATCCAACAGGTTTACAGCATGTATGGTACCGCACTCCATCTCAGTGCTGTATGTGAAACGATGGTGCGACCAGCTGACAAACTCTGGTGCCACAGGCGTGACAGTAAGATTTGCAAGCCGTGTGCATAAACTTCTTTTCCTTTTTCGTAGAATGTGTGCTGTGCTCTTGCCCCAACGAGAGATACGCACCGTCACCAAAACTCAAAGACATAACTGCGAAACCTTGAACTGGCTCACACACGTTGAATCGAATGAATCAGAATGACTCTTCATAGCTGAACGCGTTTCTTGGATTGGTTCTAGACCATTTAAGGAAGACGCGCTTTCGCTATTGTATCGACGACGCTATAAGAAAAATAAAAAGTGATGTATGCCATCGCCCCAATTATGCGTTTGAAAGGCAATGACGAAGACATCTTTCTGTTTTCCGCCACAACCACTTTTTTGCGTATCTAACTACCATTTTGGGCAAAACGAATATGCGAATTCAAGCGAGGTGCCAGAAAAGTAAGGGGTAATGGTACGGCGTCCAGAAAGCACTAATGAACGTTCGAGCCCCGTGCGAAGACGCAGTTCCACCCATAACACACCAACTTGTGAGAATGGATATGATCTTCTTTTAGAAATTCGTTAGGTCCGCCATCTTTCATAGGTGAAGGATTGTACTGCATTCGTTTTCGATAGGATCAAAAAAAAAACTACCATAATTAAGGTAATCTTCTCTAAGGGTCTAAGGGTCTTCTCGGTGCTAATCAAAATGCAAAGTAGTAGTTTTTCAGCAGAAAGCCATCAAGAATAAGCTGCTGTATAAGGAGAGAAATCCAGAGATATTATCAACCATCGCCCACCCTGACTGCTGTTCGTGCCATCTGCATCACCTCTCCTTCCGTTAGCCATCGATTTCCTCGCGGGCATTATGCCATTCGCGAGCCGGAGTTTTCTAAAGGATCGTACACGCTCGTGGGACCCGACATAGCATTCCTTTCGTTCACAGTTTTCATAATCGCGATGGCTGCCGTCCTGGCGTTAGTCTGACGAGTTACAGTCAGTAAGTAGTCTAATCCAAAGGTAATCTTCTCTAAGGGTCTAAGACAGGTAACATCGCATGACGTGTCGGGCCCATCTCATCTTCGATTCCTTGAGTTGGGCAATGGCATCCCTTATCATTGTTCATTGAAGGAGCTTGGATCTCGTATTCCTATCTGCACTTGCGTTAATACGGAAATTCTGGGTACTGTCTTTTCACACTGACTGCATGTTCATCCTGCTTTCGTTGAGTCCTAGTCGCCGAGGCGTACGACAGGGCAGGAAGGACAGCAGTGTCTAATAGGTGAGCGCGAAGCCATGTGTTCTTTTGTTTTCTTCAATACTCCAACGATAATTCCGAAAGCTTCCTACGCGGCGCGTTTCCAATACTCAGATTCAAAGCTAGATCGCTCATGATCTAGATACATGTAGATAGAGCATTTAGATATTCGTTCGTTCAGTGAAGAAAATGCATCAGGTACTGATCTGTTCTTCATGAGCATCGTCTTCTTCAAGTTCAGTCTTGAGTCAATATTTCCCAAAGCGTTGCTGGATTCGGCCAGCATTCGTTCGACTGTGCGATTTTCGTTGTTATTAGCATGATGTCGCCCGCAAAGCTGAGGTTATGTAGGTAGCGGACGTTCACCTCCACTCCCATGCCTTGAAGTTCCATATTAAGCATGATGTTTGCAAGAGCGATACTGAGAAGTCGGAGCAAAATGGTATTACTCTATCGAACCCCTCTCTACACATAGATGACTTCTTTATATGCTGGCGAGGCCTTGGTCGTTGTGTAGATGCGAGGTATTTCTATATATTGAGCGGGAACACCCTAGTTGCCTGAAGCTTCAATTCCCGCCTGTCTCCACGGTATCAAGGTCCTCATCAAATCGATGAACGTCAGACATACGGTATCCTGTATTACCGCGCCACATCAATGTTTCCTGTGACAGCGTGAGTGTGATCGATTGTAACGTACCCTCTCTGGAACCCTGCTTGCTCACTGGCTGTTTTTTATCTAGTATTCTGCCAACCCTGACGAGTATGTGAAAAGTTTGTAGATTACAGACAGCAGGCAGAATAGGCGATAGTTGCCAATATCGTCTAGATCTTCATTCTTATACAAAACCATAGCCCTAATAGTTTTTCACCACGAGAGTACTTTGCATTCCGACAGGCACCGCGTGAAGAGCCTAGCAAGAGTTCTAACGATGAAAAGTGGAAGACTATTTAAATGTTCTAGTATTATCCTGTCGAGACCGCGCGCCCAACAATTCTTTATCGAACGAGATGGCATGTTGAATTTCTGAAGGAAGAACTGGAGGAAAGACATATCGGTGTGGAACTGCTGCTCTTCTTCCTCTCATATCTTTCTTTATCTCTCCTCCCCATAGCTTCGCAAGATCAGTCCTCTGCTGACGACGCCTGTAGCTCACGCGACCCACGCTGGCGTACCAGCTTGGGAGCTTTCAAAGAGAGACGTTTCTTGGCGTCTTTGAGACACTCTGCCCTCACAGCACTATCGTGAAAATGTTTGACGAGCCGGTTGTGTTCTTCGTCGATTTTGCCCATGACGAAATTTTCTCAGAAACTGACAAGGGGGTGTGAACTTGCCTCGGTTGATGACGGTCTTGGGGCTTCGTTTCCTGAACTTTGTAGCCCTCTATCCACTGAAAACACAATCTAGCACGGATGATATGATGGTACAAAACCATACAGAACTTCGGAACCACAGCAACGCCTTTCAAACTGAACATGATTGAGGGTGAGGCTATCAATTCCATCATAAAACTGCCTACCAGGTGACTCTCATGTCCATCGCAAATGTGAGCGCTTCCGGGACTGCGATTTACCATGGATGGTGTGGGTCGACATTATGAAGTGAGTTCTTTCACCCTGCTCATTTCGCTCCGTTCTGTTAGTCCATATGTGGCTCTCCAGTCGTGTTGCAGGGGCCAACCTTAGGGTTGAAGTCACTGACGATGCAGTTGAAGAAAGTGTGGCATTTTCGGAAAATCTTATGCAGGTCTACATCTTAGAAGAACGCTTGCAGCTCATTTTCTTTGTAGCTTGTTACTGGCACGTAAGAACGAAGACTGTTAAAACTCGGATCAAGCCCCATTGTCCTAGTCGCAGACGTCCCATTCGGGTTGTGATATTGTTCAGGCCAAGTGACGTCACATTTGATCTTCCTGGTTTGAATCTTTTGGTTTGGGTACAGTCAGATTTTGACATATGTGTCCCATGTAAGCACTTATGGATTGAAATCATCATGCTGCTCACTATTTTAGTAGCCTGTACATAGCTCTGAATTACAGAAGCCCTCTACAGCGGCTTCACGCGACACCGCCGAGTTTAGAGGCAGACATGTTTTCAAGAAGAGACATAGCTCATTCAAGGGGGCGCTTTTACAATCCACGACGGCAGCGATTAGCCCGCCAGGCTCTAATGTACTTACTAAGTTCGCACTCCCCGGAGAAGACGGCGGCAAGGTCCAAGAGTCGTATCCTGAAACTGGACGGCGGAAACTATCTGAGGCCCTCATGTATAATAGTTCTCAGCCGTCCGCCACTATGTGACAAAATGATGTTGCCGTCGCGTGGTTTGGCCCCATCAGAAACTTGATGAGTGTTACCTGGTCTGCCCAATAAAAATTCTCCAATGAGAATTTCGGCAGAGATAACTAGTGAAGTAGGCGAGGTGAACAAATGATTTCCGGTAATGTTATCTTCCTCGGAATAATTTGCTTCTCAAAAGCAGTGGACACGTAAACTGCAAATCAGTAAGCAATGTCGGCGTGGTCTAAGCCATTGCCATAATAGATTACGTAACTCGGTTTATATGCTCAACCTCTAAACTGAACTCGCTATCCAGTTTTACGCGCAAAANAAAACGAATAATCGCTCATTTTTATTTTCAAAATTTTGTATAATACACTGGTGTGCAAAACTTAGGGACGAGGTGCATAATGTGACATAAAACTTTGAGGACTGGATGGAAATAAATGAAAGTGTAGGAGTATATTGCCAGACCTATGACGGTTATGAACGGGGAGCTGGACATCCATTCGTGGAGGAATAGTTCAAGTAAGGCGCGAAATACGAAATTGGCGCAAGTCGAGGCAGTTAATAGGCATGAAAGGAAAAATTTTTGTCAATCGGCGAGTAGCCACAAAGTACTGTGATGGTGATCTTCAACATATAATGTCTCGTAGACATCATTTTGATAATTTGGCACGGGTAAGGATCGCCGGGAAACTCAAAGTAGGTCGAACCATGAACAGTGTAGCTCAGGAGCTCGGGAGCGCTTTTAGCGTTCTTTCGCGAGCATGGGGAGCGTTCTGAACCTGTGGTACTGCTGCCCGAAGGAGAGGAGATGGTCGGCCGAGATCATCTACACGAAGAGCTGACATCTATATTGTGCAGCAGGCAAGAAGAGACCCACGTCAATCAGCTTCTATGATTGCAATGACATTCAACAGGATTTCAAGGCAAGCTGTCCTAGGCAATACCGTGGCACGTCGACTGCACGGTGGCGGTTTATTCGTCCGATGACCCCTACCTGTGTTCCTTTGACCCTCGCGAATCGGTGAGACCGTTTAGGGTGGTGCCAGGAGCATAGCGAACGAACCGATGAGAAATGGAGCCGTGTGCTTCTTCGGGATGGAAGCAGATTCGGTCTGAGTAGTGATTCTTAACGCAGCCTCATGACCAGAGGTGGGGGCACGCACGTATCTCAGAAACATTGTGGAACTCGTTCGTTCTGGTGGTCGAGGTGTTATGGTATGGGGAGACATCATGCTTCGCAGCCGTATTGACCTCCAGGTTCTTGAGCGTGGAACCCTTAACAGCCGGCGCTACTGTGAAAAGAAACTTTTCCTAATGTGTGTCTTTTCGAGGCAGCAGTGAACCCTGAATTCATTTTTATGGATGACCGCATCGAACAGCACAGATGGGGGAGCTCTTGGCACAAGAGGATATCCAGCGAATGGAGTCGCCTGGCCGTTCCTCGACCTGAATCCCATCGAGCACTTATAGGAGGCACCGGGTAGATGCAGTGCAGCACGTCCAAATGGACCTTTGACCATCCGGCAATTGTCAATTGCGCTGAGAGAGGAGTGCAATGCCCTACTACAATAACTCATTTCCAAACTCGTGGAGAGTGCGAGATCGCGTTGCAAAGCATGCTTCGTTGTCCGTAGTGGTCACACACCCTATTAGGAACTCGTTGCTTTTTTGCGGTACCAGGATAAATAGCGAAGACTTATGTGAGATCGGTACCGTTGAATGAAAATATCGTATCTTTTTGTCTTATTTCTATGTTCTGCCAGTTGCTTCGTGGACAACAGCGTAATGGTCCTCACTTCGTATGGTATAAGTTTCATCGAGCTCTGCGTTCTGGCAGATGTGCAATAATCGAATTGTGCTTTCGTCCCTGAGTTTCACACACCAGTGTATTATAAAAGCGATCATTATTCGGCGTATGCTCATTTTCAGCACAATGAATTTCTGCTCCAAACTTTGCAACAGTATTTCAACCTTTGCATGCGATATTTACAGATTTTACGGGCAACAAACTTATCAGTTCCTACCTGTGCACACCCGGTTGGATGATCCAAAGCTACTGTTTTATTCTGTGTGTCACACTTCCCATGTCCAAGATACTTCTCAGTTTCAAACGGAGCATCGAAACTGCGTATCTAAAAGTATGGAAAGCAGTTCATTACTAAGCGAAAGCACTTAGCAATTAGAAAAACTACTACAAATATGACATCTGAATTTCTCCTGCAACCCAGTACCCCTTCTTTCGTGCGAGTTATGCAAAAACGATGGCCACAGTAAAAAAAAAACTCCCTGCAAACTCCCTGCAGGTTTTTGGGAAACATAATTCTCGAAGCTATTACTGCGGAAGTAAGAGTAAGAGGGAGTCACTCACTTCCGGAGACCTGCTGCGGTTGTGCATCATTCAAAAGTCGATGAATTCAGTCAATAACTACTAATTCACAAATTTCAATTTTAGCGACAATTGTAATTCATTAATGTGAAACGCAAATAGTAGCTGGGTCACAGCGGAAAACGGTATTATTATTATCCGCTAGGACGAAGTAATTATCCCGAAGTCAGAAACTATGGAAACGATCCGGAAAGCAACTATCGGCTATCACCGCTGGTCGCCGGCATGCTCGAGTGGACGCCATTATGGTCTCCCATCGCCTCCATTGCGACCATTCTGAGAACAATATTGCAGAAGCATTTATTAATGTAGTATGGAATTTCGTTGAACATATAAACGCCCAGGGTCGAACCAAACTGAACTCATGTCGGTCTACCGCCCTACCAACTGAGCCATTGGGGATCTAAATTTGAGTTCTCCACGCTTGAACCTGCTTTGCTTTTTCATGAAATTCCTACTAATCGCTTGCAGTACAGTTTATGCCTGGCCTTGACTATCTGCAGCCCTCGCTCAGAGGCACAGTTTACGATAATTTTGTGGTTCCCCTTTCCAGTCGAAAAGCGGAAGCACAGGTTGGGAACAGTTCGTCGGGAGTGAAAAAAGCAAGAAAATTCGCCGATTTCGAGAAAAATAAGGTCCCTTAAAAAAGAGAAAGTAGAGCTTGGACGAGATTTCTATGACAGAAATAACATGGAAGAGGTATTCGGACGAGACTTCAGCTGTTGTAATTGTGCCAAGAGCTGACTACATCAAGCAGAACTGTTCAGAAGTGTCTTCCATTGTCGCTATGGGTCATGAAAAATTGTTTGTTTGCAAGTTCGTAAATTTATCTGGAGATATCTCATAGGCCATTTTGTCGTGAACTGTGTCTTCGATAGATATCGGAAGCGGTGTTCTACATGAAGCTCCGCTCTCGTCTTCCCAGTCTCAGGAAGATTGTGTCTCAACACACTGCTAGATTGCGAGGTTTCGGAATTGCACATCCAAGAATTGTGGAGTCGCAGTGAAAGCTGTTTTTTTTNTTTTTTTTCTCGCTTGATCCGATCGATCAGCACTCGCCTTCATGATAAAACCACGTGTTCGGCCCACGCGCCCCCCCACGGCTCCACCGAATCTTGTTAAATTGTCTCTGTACCTTCAATTATATGATTATAATAATATGTAGTAATAATATTGGCTGAAGGAAATCTGAACTTATGATTTCATCGATGAGCATTACTTCCATTATATAGATAAGGCCGCCATCGTTCGTTAGCTTTCAAAGACTAAGAAAAATCACCCACCACTCATGTTATGAAGTGCAGAATTTGCTCTACTGCTTCCGAATACTAGCTTTGGAACTTGAGCGACTTTGCGAGCGATTGTAAGCTCTCAGTTCGTTTTATCCTGACACACTCATTGTAGTGTTCCCGATAATATGAAGTGCAACCAGCAGAGTTGGTTCAGTGGCAAGTGGTGCCCCTCATACACACGTGGTCACGGGTTCGAATCCCGGATCGATATCCGCCTAAGCCAACCAAGCTCTCATCCCCCGGTGTCGGTTAATTGGTACCAGATTCGTCTGGGAGGACAAAAGCACTGACTTGCACATCGGTTGGCCACCGCAAGTCATACAGGTCACATACGCATTTATTACGCCACTACGATTCTGAATGAAAGTCGAATGCGTGAACGCTTCCCTCCGACGGGATGGACCAACGCGCCGAGACTTTATCCTTTATCCTTTATGGACTACAACTGCTGGAATATAAGTAGCCCTGCAAAAACATTTCTGCCTCANTCTTTGCATTCAGGTGCCCATGTGGTCAAGAAATGCTCACTAGTCACTATATCAGTACTTGTCGAATGAAGTTTTCAGTTGAACAGTATGAGCCTAACGCTCCATCGATAAGTGAACCGGATTTTTTCTCAAAAGATATATTCCGATATGTCGAGCTATTTAATCCGTTCTAATCATAGTGTGGCAGCATCTCACAGTGAGCGCTGAAGCTTTTTGATATCGGGAAAGTGAGAGCGGAGCTTCACGTGGGACCCCGCTTTTTGAGTTTATTCTTTGATAACGATATTTCCTAAGTGAAAGAGGGCTGCAGATAGTCAAAGCCAGACATAAACTGTATTGCAAGCGTTTAACAGGACTTTTATGAAAAGGCAAAGCAGGAAAAACGTAAAGAACCTAAATCTATACCATCGATGGCTCAGTTATTTGGGCGGCGGGCCCACATGGGTCCAAATTGGTTCAATTCGACGCGCTCATACTTTCAACGAAATTCAATGCCACTTCAATATGTGCTCCTGTAACTTTGTTTCCAGAAGGGTCGTGAATGTAGTTTTGTTATCAGCGTATGGAAACCCATACACAGGTATTTATTCCATCTTGATGGCCACTATTATCGTTTCCTTACAAGTGACGAATAGAGTGATTCCCACAAAGGAAGATATACCATTACTGATAAGACTTATGGCTATTTTTGGGTGAAAACCAGGACTCTCATTCTGCAAAGTTGGAGCTCAGCCAAAATTATAGTGTTCGTCTGCCGCGCTCTTAATCAGACGTCTGCGACGCTGATTACTGTTGGGAAACTCAGAAAGATCGCGTTGCTGCAAGAGCACCCATAGAACTCATTTTCCAAGCCATACAGCCGCAAGCACTTATTGATCGATAACACTAAGATAAAGAGAGCGACTTGACTCAAACTCATTCATAGTGAAAAAATTGGCAATAAGAAGATATTGCAGGACAGCGTCGATAAGGAAAATGGAACCGATATTTTTCTGAAACAACCTTGTCAACTCACCATAAGTTTAAGTGTAACAGAACTCGTAACCATTCCTGCTTGTTTGAGTTTTCTTTCTAATTCTTGCCCAATGACGTGGAGAAAATGGGCAACCTCGCTTTTCTGAAACAATGAATTTGGAGGTGATTATCCCTCAATCGTTTCCCAGTACCACGTAGAACAGCAAATGACTAAGTGCAAATAATAAGGAAATAATAACAATCACAGGCGAAGCATGCAGTTTGCTCCCCGTCATCGTCGAAATTTCCGCACAAAGTTCCTCCACTCCAATGAAGGCTGTAGAAGACGGAAGTTGGCGTCCAGTTGGTAAAACGTCGGAAAGGACGTCGAACCTATTTGTACTTGCCGCACATATTCAAGAACGGCTGGTTATGCACGTAAGTTGTGCGACTCTATTTTATTTTGAACTTGAAGCAACAGAATGATTAAAGAGATAAAGAATAAAAGCTTTAGGTAATGGTCAATCCCGCCTGAGGGATGCGCCCACGCATTCGACTTCCATCCGAATCTTGAAAGTGGAAGGAATGCGTGTGATGCCTATAACATGATTTGCTGTGGTCAGACGATGCTCGAGTCTGTGGTTTTATCCTCTAAATCATATCTCCTTCCAATTAGCCGACCTCGGAAGGATGGAAGGCCTGCTTGATTTGGGCGGATACGATCCGGGATTCGAATCTGTGACCTACCGTATGTGATAGTGCGCCACTTGTACACGCCTTGGACTTGCTGTCCGCTACAACCGGAAACTCTCAAGATGGAACAACCACTCGTTGCGCAGGAGGATTGGTTTTATCAGCATAAACTGCCTTATAAAAACAGCATTTCGAAAATTTCCTCGATCCTCTTCATAACGTGCTTCATAGGACGTCCACTGGTGAACAATTGATATAGCAACGGCAGAATAAGCGTGGACTTTGAATGTGCCCATTGTAATAAGGTGTTCGTCAATATCTGAGGCGCACGCTTCACAGTTGCGATCATATATCAGATCTTGGGGCACCTCGTTTTTAAAATTTTTTGAAATGCCTCTTGAAGAAGGGTATGCTGATGAAAACTCAGGACCACTGTCACTCCTAGCAAGTATTTCTTCAGTTTTGAGAAGATTGATGTTTTCTCTCCGATTTTAGAGGAAAGCACGTATAAGGTGTGCGGTTTGAAAACAACATGTACGCTTCATACATTTTCCAGGTTTTTTGGCAATATTGAGCTCCTCACATGCATACTGCACACATCTGGCATTACTCTTTTGATGTTTCTCAAGTTCAATACAAAATAGCCATACATCTTACGTGCAGAACCATCCTGTCTTCGAAACATGCGAAGGGCGCAAACAAAAAAGGAAATAAGACATCCAGTTGAACAAACGTCAGAAAAGCTTTCGTGAGCCTTCAATGGAACAAAAAATACCGTGTGTTAACCTCGACGATGTCGGGAAGCAGAATCGCAAGCCCACTAGTGAAGCGAAATCATTGCCACACGCTAAGTCGACAAAATATATCATAGAGGCAATTGCATATTTTCAATTATTACTATCATCAAGCAAATTTCGCGCCCCGTATTATTTTTTTGGGGAAGCAATTTTGTATGTATGTATGTATGTATGTATGTATGTATGTAAACGCGCGGATGTGGTGTAACGGCAAGCGGTGACTATCAAACACGCATGA